CCGATGGTTCTTCCCACCTAGATTCCTCAAGATCCAAAATGTTTTGCTCTTTAGGAAGTGTATACTTGGCCAGAGCTCAGTCTTAAAGAAAATCATTGTTCTTCCTCTACCCAAAATAAGGAAAGGGAAACCCAATAAAGCTAAAAGACTTGCCCAAAGCCAACTAACAGCCACACCTAGAACTTCAGGCTACTTAATCAATGTATTATTTTCACAGGATCCTGGAGATTTATCAGTAGCTAAATAATTTTCTATAAGAGACCAAAGAAATGCATTCAAGTTAATGACTAAAAAATAAACATTAGTCTCTTCCCTTTATCTTATATTTGACACATGTGATCTTTGATGGCAAGTCTCACAGGCTAAGACACCAAAAACTTTATCTTCTAGTTTATAGATTTTCTATGCATGGATTATAAAGCACAATCCTCTTTTGATGGTTTCAGAGATGTCTTAAACCTGTCTTAGTTCCACGCATGTTGCTTCCTTTCTAGAATGAATGAAGAACAGATAGCTACCGTCTGTCTGTCAGTTCTGAAAGCTCTCTCCTATCTTCACAATCAAGGAGTGATTCACAGAGACATAAAGAGTGACTCCATCCTCCTGACCAGTGATGGCCGGGTAAGATTTTCATATTTGGTCCCCTGCACAATTCACCTTGTCACTTCATCTGTCATGGGCATTATCCTCCTAAGAACACTTCCTCATAATTATAGTTTTACTTAGTCATAGTCACCCACTGTCCTCCCAGGAGGCTTACAAAGAGGATATTACCATCCTCTGTGTCATCCTGTTAGTCAGAATTACCTGTGACCTGAATTTGATGGATAATTTTCTGCTATAACAATGACGGTAGGAAGTAATAGAAGCAGACTATTTTTTTTTGTTTTTTTCTGCCATCTTATTTTGGTTGGAGGAGGAGAAAGGACTTTTATAGAGCTTTGTCATGCCCCCAACTCACCATTCATGTGACTCTGTGTATTTGCTGTATCTCCATGAGTCTCTGTAGGAAATAGATGACAAACACTGTAAAGAAAAATGTGATGAGTCAATAAAAGTGCTAAAGATAATTGCACATGGCTTAGTGAAGGGTTCTAGAATAGAATTTCACTCTATCTCAGCCCTGCAGTGGCAAAGCAGGGAACTGGTTACTGAAATCTGAAATAGAGATTGTTGTATGAAGAAGGATTCCTACAGGAGATCTGAAATTTCGTGGGAGCCAGACCATAGTTAACTTGCAGGACAGGAGTTGGGAAAAAAAATAGAAAGTCATATTTCTCCTTTTTTTCATCTCCTACTACTATTTTCTATTGGCTGAACTTAGTCAAAAGTCTTCAGAGAAGCCAATATAGATTGATTTTTCAAGAGTTTACAGAAGGAAGAGAATAGATCTGGAAGAATAATTAGAGGATATCTATCATAAAACTGTATTTCCAAATTCACATTTCTTCATCTGTCATCACTGTAACATGCTTATGAGATTCTGTTGAAACTTAGCAGCCACTCCAAGGTACATGTAAACATATAATACATCAACCAAGATATGAATGAGTCTGCATTCTGAGGAAGGCTCAATTAGATGGAAAAGTTTTGAGATGTAGATTCTTACCATTGAGGCCCTTTTATTTTTTTTAATTTTTATTTATTTATTTATTTATTTTCTTTTTTGGGTCACACCCAGAGATGCACAGGGGCTTCTTCTGGCTCATGCACTCAGGAATACCCCTGGCGGCGCTCAGGGGACCATATGGGATGCTGGGAATCGAACCCGGGTCGGGCCGCATGCAAGGCAAACGCCCTACCCACAGTGCTATTGCTCCAGCCCCCATTGAGGCCCTTTTAATCTCTTCAAACTCCGACCAGATGTAACTGCCTGTAAGGACTGTAGTCTTTTGTCCCTTTGATGTAACTGTCTTTTACAACCTAACAACCTCAGCCACATAGAAATTGTTCATGTCACATCAAAATCTGATAGAGGGTAGCCAGAAGAAAGTGTCACATCAAAATGATCAGAGGGTAATCAGAAGAAACTGTCCAAGCACTTGCCTTTTCTTTTTTGCTTTTGAAAAGATTGCAAATTTTACTGTATAAAATTGAGTTAATTCATAAAAGTACAAAATATATGTCCCTTATTAAAATGTAAAGTATATGATTTAAATATAAAGTAGATCATTATATAATACTAAAATAATATAAAGTATATAATATGGCATGTAAAATATTGCTCTTAATCCCATTTTCCATTTCTTTTATAATTTCATTATATTTAATATATTTTTTTGAACTTGGGATTGTGTTTAGTAAACACAATTAAATTCTCCTTTTTGCTTTGCTCGCACTGAAAATATTTTTCCAAGAGTGAATGGGAGTAGATATCAGTCAGTCTTTGCTCTGTAACAAACCACTCAACACCAATTAATGTTTTAAAATGACAACCATTTATTTGTTAATGGTTCTGCAAGTTGGTGTTGCACTGATCTCAGCCAGGACAACACATCTCTGCCCAATACGGCATTAGCTACATTCACTCTTGCATATTGGATCAATCAGCCAAAAGTAAACAGCTTCACTCACTGGCTTGACACTTGCCTTGAACAATAGAAGTAACTAGGAAATTTATGATTCATATTCCTGAGACTAGCCTTATTCATCTCGTATGTGTGGCAAGGCTGATAAAAGAAGCATGAGGAAAGTATCTTTGAAACTCTTTGCCTGTATTGTTTGTTAAAGTCCCTTTGACCAGAGTAAGTCACATAGTCAAGCTGAGATGTGAGGGGGGTAAATAGACTTTAACTCTTGGTGAGAGAAGATTGATGGTCACATTGCAAAGTGATGATAGATTCATCAGAGGAAGAATTGTCTCTATTTTTGTACAATTTACCATAAAGTTTGGAAACTGATGATAAAGAAGTGGAATCCTTCCCTGGTCTAACTCAGGAGTCACCAGCAATTATGAGCACAATTTACAAATCACTGTGCTTTTCAGCAGAGTGGCGTAGCACAGTGGCGTACAGATTTATCTCTGTGTTTAGGTGCTTACAGAGAAGTCTAAGCTAGTCAATTTCAGGTCAGAATTTATGTTGCTTGAAATTTAAATTGAAGGTTTCTGAGCTGTAAGTATATATCAGATGTCAAAGCCAGACATGAGATTAAGATAATAATTCATTGTTTCAGCATATTAGTTAAATATCTCTTCTTCCCACAATGTCCAAAAGACTATTAAATCATCCAGTTTCATTCTCAAGGGCAGAACCTATATTCCAAAGATAATCTGCATGTAACTATGTGCCCCACAAAAGATCAGAGGACCAGATATTTTGTGTTGTAAGTGATTTTTGTCTTAATAATTTGTTCACTCCTTCATTCAATAAATGCAACTACATGGCTGTGGGCCAAGACATATCTTACTCCTAAGGGCTAAACAAGGTAAAACCACTACATTTACTAAGCATAATTAGAGTATGGATATGTGATGATAAATAGATTAAAAATTATACTAAAATGACAAAAAGATGATTACATTCTAAAATTTTTATAATTAAACAATGCATGGAATTAAAGGTGTTGAAGGGAAGACAGTAGAGCTTAGTTATAATTCACAAAAGACTCCCCCCATCAAGTGGTACCTATGGATATCCAGAAAAGAGAACATTTCAGGTAGAGGGAACAGATGCTGTATTGTAAAGATTTTTATTTAGGAAGGGTTGCTGCCAAACAAACCCTCTGGGATTTGGGGGCAACTCCCAGTGATAACCAAGAAGACAGTACTAGGGCCCCTGAATGAAGAGCTCATTGTTCAGGCCCTGCTTGGACAGAGACCACCAGGGCACCCCAGAAGTGCTCTAGGGATCTCCACATTTACATTTATCAGTGCTTGGGGATGAGGGGGCATATGTGTCAGGGGCTGAACCAGGGTTCCAAGCATGCAAATCATGTTCCCTTGACCCCTATATGCTCTCCAACCACTCTGATGCTATTCTTAAGTAAATAGAGACTTTGGTATGCAAAACAATGTTGTGTTGACAATTGATCTGAACTATACCTTGCCTCTACCTCTACTCCCTTCCCTGCTCTTATATACAGGTTACTTTTCTTGGGTCACATGAAAAGTCAGGAGACCCTCTCTTTGGTCCCTTTTTAATACAGTGGTACAGTCTTGGGTAAATTGCAACTTTACTCTGCACCCCCCAAAATTATGGGGGGGGGCTGACTGAAGTGTCTGTGTCATATCAGCTTAAACACTCTGATGCACTCCTCGTGGGTTTGACAACTAAAGATATAGCCCTCAATCTGGAAGTACCATCCTTAGTTTGGTCCCTTGTATGATTTCTCAGTTTCTTTGCAGTAGGGCATTTGCCTTGCTCACAGCCAACATGGCCAACCCGAGTTCGATTCCTCCGCCCCTCTCGGAGAGCCCGGCAAGCTACTGAGAGTATCTCACCCACACGGCAGAGCCTTGCAAGCTACCTGTGATATATTCGATATGCCAAACACAGTAACAACAAAAGTCTCCAATGGAGACATTACTGGGCCCGCTCGAACAAATCGATGAACAACGGGAGGACAGTGACAGTGACAGTGACTTTGTCCCTAGGTCATTTCTCTCCTTAAAATAAAATTTCTTAAACTTTGGTGAGTAGAACCGCAGAAGAGCTTACCATAGAATACATTCCTAAGCCCCACTTCCAGAGACTGATTTGGTCAAGTGGGTGGTTCCCAAGACTCTGCATTTTTATAGGGTGCTCCTAATGGGGTGCTGATGCTTCACACTTTGAGTACCCTTTTCCTAAAGTACCCTGAAACCTGGCACAAAAGCAACCATCATTTTACTTGAGCTAAATTTAGAGCAGATGCAAGAATTGTTTTGAGGACTGGAGCAATAGCACAATGGGTAGGGCATTTGCCTTGCACATGGCCGACCTGAGTTCAATTCCCAGCATCCCATATGGTCCCCTGAGCACTGCCACAGGTAATTTCTGAGTGCAGAGCCAGGAGTAACCCCTGTGCATTGCCAGGTGTGACCCAAATAGCAAAAAAAAAAAAAAAAGAACAAGAATTGTATTGAATGCACACAATTTATACAAGAGTTTTCTATTCTATTTTAAAACTAGAGCTATCTTATGCATACATTGCCTACTCTTCCAGCTCACTCTTCATGTTTTTGTGAGGTCCCTGATTTTAACCTGGTCACAATAAGATGAAGAAGGTCTCAGGTTTAAAGACCAGTTTTGTCTGAGACTTAAGTTGTAGGTTCTTGTCTGATCTCCTGTGGAGTAAGTCGCGTTTCCTCCTTGCGGGAAGCAGCCAATGTACTACCCCAGTTCTCTTAGCACAACTACTTTATTGAGACAAAGGTGGTTTCTCAAGTAGCTAAGTTGTACAATTCTATCTAGTAAAGGCACAGCTTAGAGTCAGTTTGACTTGCTTTTAAGATTAGCCTACAATGCATTATTATACTCATTACTTGAGTTCTCATTATCTACTTGCAGATTTATTTGGATGAATGTTGTGGGCAATTATGCTCCTTTAGAAAAATTGTCTCTTTTGTGTACTTAGATGAGTAAAAATCATGCGGAAGCACTTATACTCCTACAACAGAAGAACAGACCTAGCTTCTGAGTACTGAGTTTCAATTTCTCATTTTACATTTTGTCAGAGAGATAATTATTAGTCTGTCAGATTTTGGAGTTTTTTATATCTGGAAAGAGAAAGGCATACTAGAGTTTTTTTAAATAAAAAAAAATTTTCTGCCAGTTCCAACATGCTGGTGCATTCACCTCCTTAAATCAAACAGAATTAATTGAAGAAATTATTCCTCTTCTGCTGTATAGCACAGTTGCAATGCTACTCACATTTGAGCTTTGGAAACAACTATATGCACACATAGCACACACATTCTCACACATAGGTAGAATTTCTGTCTCCGTAACAAACTTAATCTTCCAATGTCTCTCCATTAGCAGTATTTTTAAGGCACTCTATTTTAACTGTCTATTAAATTGAGTTGGCTCGACTAATTTAAGCATTGTCATTCAGCAATCAACCTCATTTTTATAAGGTTTACCTTTCAAATCTCAATCTCCAATTTGACCACCACCTACTTCCTCTTCCCACCTCCCACCCCCATCTTTCTCAAGATGGATTCTGGGAAAATAAGAAGCAAATGCAACTTATGAGGTCTTTGGATAAAAGAAATATGACCTATCTGCTGTTTTTTCTGGTCTGTGACTTGGCACAGCTGGCATTTCTGCTACCTAGACTGATAGCAAGGTTAGAATAAAAGATCCCTTTAATCTTTTATCCTAAAAGATTTTTAGGATAAAAGTCGCCTCCTAGATTTTTTTCAGGAGAGCACCTCTCCTGTACTTCACAGCTCCAGTCTTTTGCTCTAAGCCTTGAAAACCATCCTTGAGCCTATATTCTCTGAAGCATGGACTGATGCCAAACAATTCCTCATTTACTTACCAAAATTTTGAAGAGCTTTTGGTGTCTTAAACCACACAAAAGACGTTGAATTTGACTTACACACATAACCATGTTTACCCAATATTCACTAATATATACTAATATTATGAAAAATATTGAAATATTTTTCAAGCTCGTTGGCCAACAAATACTACCATTGTGAAAATACTACAATATTTCCAATCTTGTTGGTCAACAAATACTATTTTAAGTTATTGAAGCATTCCCAGACTGGAGCAATAGCACAGAAGGTAGGGCGTTTTGCTTTGCACATGGACAACCTGGATTTGATTCTTCTGTCCCTCTCGGAGAGCCCGGCAAGCTACTGAGAGTATCCCGCCTACATGGCAGAGACTAGCAAGCCACCCATGTCATATTTGATGTGCAAAAAACCGTAACAACAAGTCTCACAATGGAGACATTACTGGTGCCCGCTCAAGCAAATTGATAAACAATGGGGGGACAGTGCTACAGTGAAGCATTCCCCATTACCACATTGTTGCATGAAGTGATATCAGTTGGTCGGAGGTACAGAGATAAGACACCAGAGAGGAATGTAGAAAGCACGGAGGTCATACAGCGCTCTGGTTCATGACAAAAAACAAATTCCAGAGGCCTCCTTTTATTCTATTTTTTTATCAGTTACATCTTAATGTCTTCATCATGAAGAAAGAATCACTAAGGAGAGTACATACAGTTATAGGATAAGCATTCATCAAAAGAACATCAGGGTATACATTGTCTTGTCAAAGCTATGTTATAATGATTTAAACATCGGAGAAAGATATGGAGCTGGACATGTAGCCTCTACAGGTTACATCCCCCACATTCTTGTGGTCAGTTACACACATATACAAAGAAAGAGAAGACTCATACTGATACTTAAAGGTCACACCAGGTTAAAGATGTGTAAGAGAGGGGAAAACTGCTGCTTTGTACTGCTAAGATAAGCTAAGACCTGGCGGGTGTATGAGAGCATGCTGTACTTCCCCAGGTCAATTGGACTCACAAACCTTAGCTTGTCCACTTAACTCAAAGTGGGGCCCATTCTGCTTCCAGCATGCAGGGAAGCATTCACAATCTCATCCTAATGTCCTGGTTTAGCACCAACATCACATCCTTTACTGAAAGCCAGCAACCTCATTCGACATGACTGTGTCTCTAGGATAACTCTGGGGAACTCCTTGATGCAATATTTGCATTTATATGGTTCCAGATAAAAATTAAAAGTCTTAAATATTGCCTCTGAACACAGACACATATGAATTTTCCTCTCCCTTGATTGTATATGCCACTTAGATATTTAAAAAATCCATGTCCTTCTATTTAAATTAGTAAAAAGTGCTTTTAATTTTTTTTCAGATGATAGTGCCAGGCTAAAAATGGCAGACTCTAGGATTTTTACTTCTCTAAATTGTATAGTCCTTTTTAAGTATGGTATTAAGGATTATAGACCAGCAGGATTACCCTCTTCATACCACATGAGAATTTTTTTACCTTTGGTATATAATTTGGTGGAGGAGGCATATCCAGTTATGTGTGAGCTTTTTTTTTTGACTCTCTGCTCAAGGATCACTCCTGATAAAGCTTGGGGGACCAAGCATGTACAGGGGAATCAAATCTGGGTTGGCTACGTGTAAGGCAAGTGTCTACACTGTACTGTCTCTCTGGTCTTGAATTTCATTCTTGATATATTAAACAAATTTATATATGTTAACATTAAGGAAACCATCTCTCCACTAAGCCATTTATCTTTTTCATTGCACCTGAGGTAATGCAATCATCACCTGGCCCTGCCAAACCATCACTAGCCTTGATTTGATTATAAAGAAGTTTATGAACAAAAACAGAAAAAAAAGTCATTTTTATAATGTAAAAAAAAGTTACCTCCATTTCATCTGTAATCCAGATTTGATTCGTGAGACATCTGTGTTCAGTAAGTTAAAGATCAACAGTTTCAGAAAAAGCACCACTAAAATTTTATCAGTTTTTTTATCATCTTTTATATATGATCTGTCATGATATATGCCTGTGTCAATATAAAATAAAAATCATTCTAGTCGGCTGTGTTTTTGTCAGTATCTACTATCTATCAAGAAAGGATATGTGAATCTTCACAGTTAAAATGTAAAGATTTGGGTCAGTGATAATTCAGGGAGTAAAGTACTTGTCTTGCATTTGGCCGATCTTGGTTTGATCTCTGGCACCATATATGGTCCACAAACCCTGTCATAAATGATTTCTAAACACTAAGCCAGTAGTAAACCCTAAGTACCACCTGGGATGCCCCCCCCACCAAAAGAAATTAAATGGCAAAGAGTCTAGATTTTCAAGTGTGAGAGGAAAAATCGTCACCAGATAAGGGTTCAAGATTTAATGGTGTGTGATTTTTAAATGTGCATGAGAAACCATTAACAGTATTATAGATCATAATATCTCAACTTTTAAATTTGTTTGTAATTATTAAAAGAAGTCAAGATTTGATGAATGATGCAATTATCTCATATTTGTAGAGGTGATTAGTATGAACTCCTGAGGAAAAAAAAATCTGAAGGAAGTAAGAATGGATTGAATCCTTTTGTTATGCTAAAAATTTTGATAAATTTTCACACTGAAATTTGGAAAAAGGCAAAAATGTTCCCTCTTATTCCTTCCAAATTATGCAATACTACAAAAAAGAAGATATATTTCTGTCTAAAAGGGGAAAATGAAAACTATTCACACATGATATGATTATTGTAGAAAATCCAAAAGAAAAGGAAATAAATCTCCTATAACTTAAAGGTTATTTTGCCAAATTTGTAAGGTTAATATACATAAATAAATTATTTTCATATTTGCTGCAATGAGTAAGTGGAACTTGAAATTTGAAACACAAAACCATTTACACTAGCACCCCTCAAAATGAAATGCTCAAGGATAAACCAAGTAAAATATGTAAAAGGTCCTTATAATCAAAGCTACAAAATTGGAGAACAAATGGAGAGGTATTCCATGTTTATGGATAGAAGGATTCAAAAGTGTCAATATACCATTTCTTTATCATTGGATCTACAAACATAATAAAAACCTAACCAAAAATTTTAATAAGGTATTTTTTTGAAAAGTGACAAGATTCTAATTTGTTAGACAAAAGTTGACCCCCCCCAAAAAAAGATAGCCAACAACATAGTGGCAAGACTGACTCTACTTAAATTTTAAGATTTAGTAATTAAGACAGTGTGGTATTGACAATTACATATTGTCAATACTGGACTGTCTCAATTATATGATTATGTATGAATTATATATATATATCATATATATAAGTTATATGAACATATATATCCACAGTAGTCAAGCTACATTAATCAAGTAATATAGACTGTATATAATATATACAATATATTGACAATATATATTAACAATAGTGTACTGTCTTGAGGACATAAACATACATATATTATATATGATCTATATGGCCCAGTTACTATATGAATATATATGTATATACACAAGTATAATAAACTGATCTTAGACCAAGAAATAAAGACAATAAAACAATAGTGGTGTAGGGTGGGGGGTCCCACAAAACCACTCAGACTGCAACCTCTCCCTCTCCCTCTTCCAAGGGAAGAGAAGGGGGATCACCAAAGGTAAGAGGCAGTTGCAAAAGCAGTGCCTAGAACCAACTTCATGCTCAGGAGAGGATTCTCTGGCTTGTTCTCATGGTTTCTGGTATTCTACACTATCAGAGAAACTTCACTAGTTACGAACTATAGAAATGATTCCTGAAAGTATTGTTATTTGCAGAACACTAGATGAAGGTCAACCATGCAAGCAAGCCGGGTTCCGCAAAGGATTCAGCACCATCGACCATATCCACACGATAACCAAGCTCATTGAGGTTTCTCGGGAGTTCAAGATGCCGCTCTGTCTAACGTTCATTGATTTAAAGGAGGCCTTTGATTCTGTTGAGACAGAAGCGGTCATTGAAGCCCTAGCCAATCAGGGCATTCAAGCCCAATACATCAAGATCCTCCGTGAGCTGTATAGCGGATTCACTACCAGGATCTCACCATTCTACAAGGAGGTGATCATTGATGTCAAGAGAGGAGTTCGGCAGGGTGATACCATTTCACCGAAACTCTTCAGTGCCACCCTCGAGAACATCATGCGACGACTGGAATGGGAAGGAATGGGAGTGAAAATAGATGGTCGGCAACTACACCACCTCTGCTTTGCTGATGACATTGTTTTAATAACACCAAACATCAGCCAAGCAGCACAAATGCTGGCCGACTTTGACCGTGAGTGTGGAAAGGTAGGACTACAGCTGAATCTTACGAAGACAATGTTTATGAGAAACAGCCTCGTTCCTGATGCCCCATTCGCTCTCAATGGAACGACCATCTCGGAATGCAACAGCTATGTGTACCTAGGTCGAGAGGTCAACATGACAAATGACCTGGCACCCGAGCTGCGCAGGAGGAAGAGAGCAGCTTGGAACGCCTTCAAGAGCATCAAAGAAATAGCTAAGAGGACGAAGAGCCTCCGGCTCCAGGCACATCTCTTTGATTCTACTGTTCTTCCTGCATTAACATATGCCTCAGAGACCTGGGCCCTACGCAAACAGGATGAGAACGCTATTCTGGTCTACCAAAGAGGAATTGAAAGAGCTATGCTTGGAATATCACATTTCAATCAAATGAGAGAAAGAATCCGGAGTTCCAACATCCGTCGACGATCAAGAATCAGGGACGCTGTCTCATTTGCCAAGGTGTCAGAAATCAGATGGGCTGGTCACATAATGAGATTTAAAGATGACCGCTGGACTAGAGCTGTTACTGACTGGAATCCACGGGATGTCAAAAGACCGCGTGGCCGCCCACCTACCAGATGGTCAGACTTCTTCATCAAGATCATGAATGATCGGTTTGAAGCTCTTCATGTTCCTAGAGTGAACAGATGCCATTGGGCTACACTAGCACGGGACAGGGACAAATGGAGACATTACTGGTGCCTGCTCGAGCAAATCGACGATTAACGGGAAGTTAAGTGATTAAGTGATTAAGAACACCTAATTCCACATGGATAAATTAAAGTATATCTAGAAAAAGAATTTGTACCCTTAACAAAAATTATGTCCATGTAGGAAACCCATAGTTATTAGAAAAATAGATTTAGAATGGAGGGGAAAGGTCTTTGCCTTCGAGTTTGAAGGAAAAGGTTATCTAACAATAGAAAGTTAAATACAGAAAAAGAGGCTGGAGAGAGAGCTCAACAAACTAAGCCTATGCCTGTATTCCTTGAGCATCACCAGTGTGTTCTAAAAACCAGAGAGAAAGAAGGAAGAGAGAAGAAGGAAAAGGAAGAAGAAAAAGCAATTCTGCCAGGCCATAGGGCATCCTAATGCTCACTATGTGAGTACCAGAGGTAGTATCAGAAAAGAAAACTGAAATAAGATATTCAGAGAGCTATAAAGAGAGCTGAGGAAGAATTTATTCTACGGAGACTATACATTTAATCTATAGAAATTTAACTTAAAATTGCTATTCTGAAACATTGCCAAATTGCTATTCTGAAACATTGCCAATCAATACCTGTAGCATTATTTTCTTTCAATATATTTCATCATCACTAAAATCCATAGTGGCAGTTTTCTTCAGTAAGTCCATCTGAATTTCAGGCCAGACCACAAATCTTCCCTCCCCAAAATAAAATGAATCCTAGTCACTTGGAATACATAAACTATCAGGGTGGGTACCTAATGAAGCGTTATGATTGTGAATTTGTAAAGCTTGGTGCAAGAATTTTCAGTGATGGACAATATAATATGCATTATATTGGATCATTAAGATCTGCCTTAAACCCCCAATAACCAAATACTAGCAACCAGATTCCATGCCCATATCTACATTTATGTTGTTCATACTGACAATTTCAATTTTATGAGCAAAACAGAAAGACAAGATGGAAGGGGATATAGTGGATAAGCAGAGTTAATAATTATCTCAGTATCCTAAATAAATAGTTATTACAATAACTCAAGTAGAGAAAAGAATTTACTGGCTGGAGTGATAGCACAGTGGGTAGGGTGTTTGCCTTGCACGTGGCTTACCCATGTTTGATTCCTCCATCCCTCCCGGAGAGCCCAGTAAGCTACCAAGAGTATCCCTCCCACACAGCAGAGCCTGGCAAGCTCCCTGTGGTGTATTCCATATGCCAAAAACAGTAACAACAAGTCTCACAATGGAGACATTACTGGTGCCTGCTCGAGCAAATCAACGAACAATGGGAAGACAGTGCTACAGTGCTACAGTGCTATTTGAATCCTCTCATGGTACTTAGAAATGAAAATATGTTCAAAACAAAAGAAACAGCAGCAATTTGTACAAAACTCACATTGAGAATACTGTTAAATTATATGCAAACACAGTATGTTACGTTAAAGTTGTGGGTTGGAATTTTAACAATTTTTTTATTTGGGGGTGTATTTAATTTTAAATTGTTTTGTATTTGTAATTTTATCAAATATGTAGGCAGAAGTTTAAATATTTGCAAGTCAATCTTGAATAGACTGTCACACTTTCCTTTAAAATTACCACGCCTTTGCAAGAGTGTCTGAAATACTCAGATTTTTCCAAGACCTCTTAATGAGATTGTTTTGTTTTGAATTTGAAATACTCTTTCTAGAACTTGCTGCTGGTGTCTTCTGAATTGCCATGTGTGCTTTGCTTTCCTTTTCAGATAAAGTTATCTGACTTTGGTTTCTGTGCTCAAGTTTCCAAAGAGGTGCCGAAGAGGAAATCCCTGGTTGGCACTCCCTACTGGATGGCTCCTGAGGTGATTTCTAGGCTACCTTATGGGACAGAGGTAAGAAAGTGACAATCAATGCCTGGACGCCACAGAGCCTGGACAGGGGTTCTAACGTAGTTGATGGACATAGGCAACCTGGGAGATGTCTCTTGATTCCACTTGTGATTCCCCATCCACTACACTTCTAACAGAATAGGTTGTGGCAGAAGGACACTGACCACTGCTGAGGAAATTTACATGACATTGATCTAGGTGCCATTTCCTGAGTTACTCAGGACAAGCCACTCAAACTCAGATCCTACTCTCCTTGGCAGGAGGCCGCAAATAAAGCACGACAGTGCCACTTGAAAAGTGGCTGGAGAGGCACAAATGAGCAGCAGGCATAGCAAGTCAATGGAGAGAAGCGCTGTAGCACTGTAGCACTGTCCTCCCATTGTTCAATGATTTGCTCGAATGGGCACCAGTAATGTCTCCATTGCGAGACTTGTTGTTACTGTTTTTGGTATATTGAATATGCCACGGGGAGCTTGCCAGGCTCTGCCATGCAGGAGGGATAGTCTCGGTATCTTGCCAGTCTCTCTGAGAGGGGCAGAGGAATTGAACTCGGGTCAGCTGCATGCAAGGCAAACTCCCTACCTGCTGTGCTATCTATCACTCCAGTCCCAAGGAATAGAAAGTCAGAATAAAACAAATGTATTGTTCAGATAGCCTGTGCTTTTTCCTCTAAAGGAAATATGAGTGTTTTACTATTTAAAATATAGCATTATTTCTCTTTCTTCTGAAAAGAAGCCACTATGTCTTAGTAGAGTTTGGTATGCACACCTAAGGCAGCTGAAGAAGTGAAAGAAAGACTGTGATGGGAGAGAAGAGTGTGAGCAGAAGCTCTGAGGTACACTCCCAGGGAGACAAGGTGCTTGTGCCAACTGGGCATAACGTGTTTCCACACTTTACAGCCCAGATGGCAGTTCACAGAGAGGAGAGGCATGGAGGAGACGTCACGGATCAGTAAGCTAGGGATATTAGCGTTAAGGCAGACTTTGCTCTCTTTCCCTTATTTGTTTGCCCTTGGATCAGCGTCAACTTGTTTTTCTCACCGTGGTCCCAAGAGCATGAATGCTCAGTGAAGGTCACTACAAGTGTTATAACAAGAATGCAGCTAACTGATAAGGAGCATAATGAGACTATGAGAGAGAAGTGATGCTAACTGGGAATTTATAGCACAGCTAAAGATCTCTCGTTGTCCTGACTTCCTATTTTCTTTACTCAGAAAGAATTGCTTGTCATCTCTTCCTTTTCTTTTTATTTTTTCTCCATGCCTTGCAAATGGCTTACAAAGCAGGGCTTTGTGTATGTCACTTCAAAATATCAAACAAAGGAAGGAAAACTCTAAGAAGAAGGAAAGAAATAATTTTAAAAATCAAATTGACAATAGAAAATGAATACTTACTGCATTATGCAGTGCAGTTCTGTTGTTTATTATGACTATGTCAAACACTTGGCATTTTCTAATGGTTTCTACCCAAGTTTCTCCTACATGTTCATAATATAAAGCTTCGAGGGTTTTTATCATCTGCTCTACGAAGAATTTAATGTCAAAGCTAAAAGTATAAAAAATAGTTATAAATTTCAGAATGTTAAGATAGTCTTGTGGATGTAATTGGTAGTACATTTACTGAAGTTGTTGTTAAAAATTAAATGAAGATTGTTTGCAAAAATACAATCACTAAGCACTTCAGTCCATAAATATATATTGTAATTTTTGAGAAATTGGGGGTTAGAGAGATAACTCGACAGAATGAGAGCATGTTTTGCATGCAAGAAACATGGACTTGGTGCCCAAAGTCACATTGTTCCTTAAGCATGGCTGGGAGCAGCCCTGAGCACTGCTGGATATGACCCATAACTCAAAACCAGTTTTCGTGACAGGTTACAAATATCACATTTATTTGTGAATGAGTGAATCTATTGAGTTTCCTAGACATCTACACTTCAGAGCATTCTTGTTGTCTCAGTTAACCAATGGGTTGTGCCTAACAGGTGGACATATGGTCCCTGGGGATCATGGTGATAGAAATGATAGATGGCGAACCGCCCTACTTCAATGAACCTCCCCTCCAGGCAATGAGGAGGATTCGAGACAGTTTACCTCCAAGAGTAAAGGATCTACACAAGGTGAGAACTGAACTATGTGGTTGAAGTCAAAGTTATGGATTCTTGGAGTCTTCAGTTTCTATATTTTTAAGAACCTACCTATCACTTCTCTGAGTAGATACTTGTTTATGGGAATATACTTGAAAATTAGTCTCCTACATTCAAATCTCTGCTCTTCCTTATAACTCCATGGTAAATGATTAATCCTTTTCCTTTTATCTGTAAAATGGGATACAAGTTACACCTCTCTTATAGGGTTGGCTACTAATATAAATTTGGCCCTTCACTCCGTCCTACATCTTGGAAAACTTATAATGTACTAGGGGCTGTTCTAGTTGCTGGGTTACTCAGCAAAGACCCACATTTCCTGATTTTCATAGAGCTTGTATTCAGGTTAAGGAGACATATAACAAACCACAAACAAACAGATCAGTAAAATAATGTCAGAAGGTGGTATCTACTCTGCATTGAATGAAAAACACTATGGTGTAGTGTGAGTGCAAGAGAGGTAATGTTGGATCTATTTCAGATTGAAGAGTGAAAAGAGATTTTCTCTTTTTTGAAATTCTATCTTGAATTCTCCAAAGTATTATTATAGTTTTGATAATATTGTTAGCATAGTGATCAAGTTTTTAGCATCAATATAGACCGTTATTGCACACCACCACCAACTTCGTCCCCAAGATTCTCCACCACTGACCTTAAGAAATTCTTTTTTTGTGAGCATTCATGTTTTGGAACCTGAATGGTATGTCAGAGTAGGCCATGTGAAGAGATAGGGGAGAAAAATTACTCAAGCAAAGAGAACAGTAGTGTTCCTACATTTCTAAAAGGGAAATTTATGGGATGGAGCAAAGTAGTAAAAGAGAGATCATGCAGGAAGGTAGATAGATAATAAATTATGCAGGACAAGTAAGAACATGGTTAAGGGAAAAATCCTGCTCTCTGAGGATTGAAAATGGGGTTAAGTTAAGAAAAAAAATTATGATGTCAAAGAAGCACTACTGTTGGAAAAAACAGTAGGGGCAGAGCTTTCTAAGAGGGAATGCTTCCAGATCCAGTAGCTTCAATACTAACCTCGTACACATCTCACCTCCCATCTGCACTGTGGATGCAGAGGGAAAGTGAACTACTTTTAGTGGAGTAACAGTTCATTACAGTAGCATATCCTCTTCCCTAACCCCTCAGTCTTCAGAACGAGCCCCAATTCATAAAAGTTGCCCCCAAAATGTAAGAATACCTAAAGAATCAAACTTTTATTCCCTTGAATCACCTAAATACAAAATAATTGAGCATAATATTCTAGAAACATGTGCAAGAAAAACTTCAGTGCTAATAATAAAAAACTGGAAACCAAGTTTTCCAAGGCTGCTTCCAGAATGGATAAATAATAAGTACAGTAATTCAACAGTGAATACTATACAGCAATGAAACTGATGAAAATGTCATAGATATAATGTTGAAAAAGAGAGCATTTGACCATTGGTGATTCTATTTCTATAAAGAACAAAAGAAAGAAAATTTCTTTTTTCTATTAGAAGTCAGGATAGTGGTAACCCTTTAAAAGGAGTTGGTTATTAACAGGTAAGGTGACTGAGATCATCTCCTAGTGTAGTGGAAATATATAGTTTATATCTTGATGTGGAATAAAGAGATATAATTTTTTGTCTAAAGATGTATAAATTTACATTAGAAAAGTTTGTCAAAGAGTTGGAGAGACAGGGGACTTGAGACATTGATGATGGAGGAGCGTTAACACTGATGGTGGTTTGATGTCAGAACATTGTGTGCCCGGAGTTCTAATATCAATGATATTGTCAACCAATCATGCCTTAAAATAAAATAAAATTATTTTAAGGTTTTAATACTTCTAAATAAGCATATAATATGTTTGAATTTGTATGTAAGATACTTCTAAAACATAAATTATAAGAAATTAATGGGGAAATGCTGCGTCAAATATCCTTAAAGAAGCTCCTCTTCAAGAAAGGGGATTCTGCAGAGCCTGGGTGATTGCAAGTGTTAGAAACATAAAACTATTCCATGTTTATACCTTACTTCAAATTTTTGCAACCAGCATCTATGTATACATACCCACTCTTGGTATTCTGTGATGTGTTCATCACTATTGTTACCATTTATATTGAAAAAAATCGATCCTCTTTCATTATAACTGTGTATTTCTACCTTTTCAACATTTAAGAAATGATTGAAAACATCACATGTTAATTAAATCAGTACATGATTTTGTTTTTCTAACATATTTCCCCTTATGGAAACTTTGTAAAATTTGCTATTGTTGATGTAGTCATTTTCCTGAATATTAGCTGGAAGGTCGGTTTAAAGAGCTGAATTGGGTTTCTCTGTTGGTCTTCATCACTGTGTGTTGGGTGTTGACAGGTTTCTTCTGTGCTCCGGGGATTCCTAGACCTGATGTTGGTGAGAGAACCATCTCAAAGAGCCACAGCCCAGGAACTCCTCGGACATCCATTCTTGAAACTGGCGGGCCCACCCTCTTGTATTGTTCCCCTCATGAGACAATATAGGCATCACTGAGTAGAGGAGTCACATCAGTAAAAAAAAGCTAGAGGACATGAGCATAATTCAGGAGAACATGAAACCACAGGACATGCAAAAGACCAGCTGATTGGTGGGACAGTGTGATGACCAGCAGGGTTTGACAGACCAGGGCATCTTCTTGTGTCTTAAACAGGCATCTCTCCACTGACAGCTGGCACAATCATTTGGAACATCACTTTAAAAAGTCATTATTATATTTTTCAACCCTTCATCCAGCAAATCAGAAAGGACTCAGTACAAACTCCGTTATGATATATCCTAGCCACATGCAGGGTAATGCGTAGGGTTTTCTATATTGAAAGAATACTTTTCTGGCAAAAAAAGAAAGGAAAACAAAAAGCACTTTTTTCTTAATGGTAGCAGTGTAATGTATTTTGCAATGAATTTGAATTTGTAATTTTTCTGTACAATAGTTTTGATAATTTATAGTACTTTGATGTCACGTAGCCATTGTATCAGTTAAAGTAATACTTGTTTACTAGCAAGAGTTTGAACAAAGCCTTTCCTACTTTTTTATCCCTTTCAGAGACCCAACGATTCTATAGGAACTTTGAATACTGAATGACTCTCAATCACCGTCAGCTTTAGTAGAATATCTTTCTTATCTTTAACAAGTGTCTTATGTGATGGACGAAGATTTAAGAGTGATGGTGATGGTGGTGCACATTTCATTTATTTAACCAAAAATAAAATAAAATTTGAGTCACAGTTTACCACCAAACTACTCCTTGGGGTAAAGTTAAATATATTGGAAAATTGCTCAGTCCTTATGCTAGTACTAGCAAAGCAGGGTGGTTTTTTCCTTGTGCCCTCTCTTGAATGGGCAAGATATGCTCCTTGTGACCAAATTGCCCTCCCAAGGAACAATTTCAGTGCTGGGATCATGAGACTCAGTTCCTCAAATTGTATGTTTCAATCAGGTCATGAGAATTGTAGTATCACAAAGGGAAAGGAGAGAGAATGGGACAAGATGTTTGGTTTCATTTGTCACTGTTTTCAAAGCTCTGTATGCTAGCACACCAAACTCTTGTCTGTACTTACCTTTGTACCACAGTATTAATTGCTATTGTTCATGTATTGTGCTGGAAGCCTGAACTGACTCTAGAGGAAGAATAGGAAAGGGGGTATTTTACAGGTACGATCTGACTTCAGTTGTGATCATGTTATAATGTGTTTCTAACATAGGAGAGTTGTGCTGCTGTCTAGATCTTCTTGAATGTTGATAAAAATGAATGACTACTATAATACATTTTGTGTTGCTTGTTGGATGAATTTGCATGTTAACTGTAGGCCAATATAGATTTGCCTTTAAAACTCTGAAAGAGCTACATAGTCACCATTAGTTTTTATTACGTATGTGTCAGACAAAAGCCATTTGTACCAAACTAGAAAACCAGAGGTTTTTCATAATGACTTCATATACTGTAACAAGAATGAATTTAATTTTGTGAAAATGCTCTGGTTGCTCTAAGCATAATTAAGAATTTTAATTAATAGGTTGTTTATTATTTATTATCATTTAAAAAAGGAAAAAAAGGCATAAGATGACCTTCTACTGCTTAGATTTTCAGTTTTCTCCCAAACTGAAAAGGCCTCACCATAAGTAAGATCTATAATTTATTTCATAAAACACGAGTCAATGTTTTATTTGATATCTTAAAATATTAATATAAGTAAGTAAGAAAAAAATCTAAATCCAGAAAATGACAGTCCTAAAAGTTCGCAGAACAAATTTTATTAATGTAACTAGTACTCTATAGGCTAGAAATTAAAAAAAAACTTTTTATAATCAGAACAAATACTAAAACCATTACAAAAATAGTAGATTTGAGATTCCAACCATTTTTAAGAGTGTAATAGAAACTTTTCTGTAATTTTCTTATTGCTGGGTATTTTTTAAAGTAGTCATTGAGTTTACCAAAAGTTACTGTAGCTTAAAAAGGTTTTGTGAGCACTATTGGCAGAAACTGCACTTGCAAATAAAAATAAATGTTTGCCTTTTCTTCCACTGTGTTATTGGTACTTCAAATTTATTTTTTTAGGAAATGCAAATAAGTTGGTATAAATTTACGTGCAGCATTGAGACAACAAGAAGCGAAAGACAAATATTCCCATTCTTGGAGCTCACAAAGAGTGTAGAGCTATGGAGTAGATGGGCATAAGGAAGTATTAAATTCTGGAGTGCCAAGTTTAAAGGAAGTCATATTTATCATCAAAGATTCCACTCCACATCCCTATTACAATGATGCTCATCTGAAGGCCTTTTACCAACAAAAGCTATCAAAAGTAGAGTATTGGGGATGGAAGAGAGGGATAGAACTCAAAGGGCTGAACACATACTTTGCGTTTAGGCAAACAGAATTTTATCCCTAGTACCATATGGTTCCCTGAGTAGCAGCAAGAGTGATTACTGAGCACAAAACTGAGAGTAGCCCTGAAGTACTACAGGGGGTGGCCCAAAACTGCAGAATATGACCCAACACAAAACAAAAGAATATTCTTAGTATCTAAGGTAGAGAGAAAGATCTCAGGTAGCCCAGAAGAGAATTTTGGAAATTTTCTCTCATTTGAATGACAAGGAAGATGCCAACATTTATCCTATGTCATTGAGAGGCTGGATTCTCATCCAGAAATTTTGAAAAGTGACAAACCTCACAAACAGCCTGAGATGAAAGAATATGAGCAGAATCTACTCTTTTCCGGCCCCCGTGAAGGACAGCTCATCTGAGGGAGGCTGCCTCCAATGATTCTCCTCTCCTGTACAAGATACACTATATCCTATCTCATTCTCATGCACTTTGTCTTGGTTACAATGGAGCATGAAGAGGTAAGGGGGAACAGACCAGCCCATTTAACTAACCAATGAATTGCCCAAGTTAGAAAGTTTTCAAGGCAAGCGCCATGTGAGAAATTTGCAGGTGACTACTTTTCAGCAATAGGAAGTGGCTGAAGAGTGCTCTAAGAGCACACATGCCATTTATACCAAAACCCTTCTGAAGAACAGTATTTGTAGTCCTCAGGTGGAAACAAAGTAGATTCGGACATCTTCCCCTTTTCCAACAGCGTATACAAGTTAGGCAACTGCAGTCACTTCTTTGACCAGAAACACACTCCAAAACTGCTTCCCATGGAACATGAGTTAGTGTGAGAGTTGAGAAAGATGTAGAAGACGAAAAGGAAAAATAGGTGCCTACCACGTCTGCTGCCATTTCATATCCCTAATTGTCTCTTTCTCTTCCTCTGACACAAACTTAACCCAAATAACCCAAATTATTTTCAATTAGAATTAGATCATTTTTAAAAAACAGATTAGAGTGATCAAATCAGACTGAGTTATGGTAGTGTTCCTTCATTAACCACTGAGACAAACATACTTAGTAGCAATTTCTAATGTTACCAGTAACATTCTATTAAAAATGAAATAATTCCATGAAGTTAACAACTCAATGAGTTCAGACTCCTTGATACAATGGGTCAATTTAATAGCGTTGTTTTATGGAAAAAATGGTAATGAGATTCCAGGCAGAGAAAAGCTCAATTTGATTTAAGCAGGTACAAAATACAAAAGCAAAACGATTCTGTGAAAGCAACAAATTGTGCAGGAAGTCAGCCAACTTGAGTCTGGAAATGAAGCAATTTGTGTTGTATTTCCAAGTCAAATGAATATATTAACTTAGTGTGGGTTATGTTCAAAGTGAATCTAGAGAAGACTTAGACACATACTTTATTTACACAAAGATACAAGGAACCTCACTCAATATAGTGGAGTTTGTAACAGAGGCAGAAGATGTGAAATAATAATAATAGAGTGTTTTATGAATGAGTTATTACTGAGTAACCCCAGGCCCAATCCCATGGTAGCCCTTCCTGGAGAGACATTCTAGAATTTTCCTTTTGGGACATGTGGGAAATGGAAAGGACTGACAGAAAGGTTATATGCCCATGTATCTACCAGCTCCTATCCATCAATGGTTTAACTGCTGTTAGAACATCAACTCACAAAACATACATTTTTTTCCAGTGCATTGGCCAAGTCTATTACATCTGACAGAAGTAAAGAAACACAAGAGGTCATGGGCCTACACAGAAACTACCAGCGCAGGCCCTAGGGGTAGGGTTTGACAGGTGAGACATCATGGGTAGGAAACTAACAAGAGCTCCTATGTGAATAAATGCAGAGGCAAAAAGAGGGTTTAAGAAAGTCTGTCTATTCACTGATAATTTTTTTAAGGCTTAAGAAAATTTACTTAAAGAAATGGGGGTAGGGGGGAGAAAAAGAGAGAAAGAGAAATATGTTCAAGAGAGAACAAGGACTTCTCCACAGTGGGGAATAAAGACCTGGGTTTCTAATTTCTGCATCAAAATACACTTTTTCAAAAATTCTTACTTTTTATTTTTAATTAAAACAGAACTTAAAATGCACTGTGAGATACACAGTTACAAAGGTGTTCCGGATTGGGTTTCAGCCTTACAATGTTCCAGTAACCTTCACTAGTGTACATTTGCTGTCACCAATGTCCCAGGTTCCCTCCCGCTCCCCACCCCAAGTCTGACTCTATGGAAAACACATTTCTTCTCTCTCTCTCTCCTCTCTCTCTCTCTCTCTCTCTTCCCTCTCCTTCTCTCTCCCTTTCTCACTCCCCTTCCTTTTAGGCACTATGTTTTGCAATACTGTTACTGAAAGGTTATTTATATGACTTTATCTCCTTTCAGCACTCAGTCCTTGTCCAGAGTGATCACTTTCAATTATCATTCTAATAGTTCTCCCATCTTGATCCTAAATGCACTTCCCCACAATTTGTGACAAGTTTCTTTCTGTGAACTGGTCTTTGTGGCCCTCATTTCTAATGTGTTTTAATAGCAAATGTATTGGAGGGGAGGGAGAGTGGAAAGCAAAGGGATGGGGATGTGTTGCCGCCAGCAGGTCAACCTGTTTCCATGGGGCGAGTGCATCAACAGCCTGATGATGCCTTTAGGCTTACTGATACCCTAAAATTGATGCTGTGCCAAAAGTTAGGTATGTGGAAGCCATGCCCACAAACCATCTCCAGCTCAGGTATACAGTATCATTTATCAGCCTCGATAAGAGACCCATAAATAAATCTCAAAAGAGATCAAAAGCCGCAGTTAATCTCAGACCCATACAAGGCTGAACAGACCAGGGTAAATCAGAGTGGGGCTGGTTAGCCTAGTGCCCACGCAAGCAGAGCCCTTAGCAACCACTTGCTCCCACAATCCAAAATCACCACCATGTCCCCAGCTGAACTTCACCATCTCAGGACGAACCTCACTGAGATATAATCTGCTGAAAAGTCATTTATGCAGGTTTTGTCACTAAAATCTCCAGGCTTATCTCAGGATCAGGATGGGTTAGCTCCTCCCACCTCTCTGTACTTTTGAGAGTCTCAGGGGTCATGTCCACATCCCAAAGCTGCCACCCTATTAAAAAAAAAAAAGCTATTGAACCTTACCTTCATGATAAAAATACTGAGTGCCCCGAACAAGCATGATGACCTCTTAGTATTGCAAATCATAATGCACAAAAGGAGAGAGAGAAAGAAGAAAAGTGCCTGCCATAGAAGCAGGTTGGGGGCAGCAGGTGTTGGTGAATGGTGGGAGGGAAATGAGGAACATTGGTGGTGGGAAATATACACTGATGGGAGGGGTGAATGTTAGATCATTGTATGAAATCCAATCATGAACATATGTTTGCAATGGTCTATCTCACAGATATTCAATAAAAAATTCGCTGTCACTGTCCTCCCATTGTTCATCGATTTGCTCAAGCAGGCCAGTAACATTGTGAGACTTGTTACTGTGTTTGGCATATTGAATATGTCACGGGTAGCTTGCCAGGCTTTGTCGTGTAGGCTAGATACTCTCGGTAGAGAGGGGCGGAGGAATCGAACTCAGGTTGGCCAGGTCAGCCGCGTGCAAGGCAAATGCCCTATTCGCTGTGTTATTAAAAAAAAAAACCGCAAAGGATTTCCTTTCACTGCAAGGTTGTATGACATAGCAAATGCTAAAACTGGAACTGCATGGGACTCTGGGATCTTAATGATCCATCTTACCTGAACTAACAAAACATGCAGAATTTAGCCAATGGCAGCACATTAATCATACTACCTGAATATACCTGTCAAATATGCAAAAAAGGAAATAGAGACAGACAGAGAGACAGAGCTAGACAGGTACTTTAGGGACTTTCGTTCTTAGAATCTGTATTATCTAATTTGTCACTAAAACCTTTGTGAGGTCTTCCTGAGGAGACATAACACATTCTTTCTCTTTTTTTTTTAATTTTTTTTTATTTTCTGGGTCTGGGTCACACCCAATATTTCTCAAGGCTTACTCCTGCCTCTGTGCTTCTGGATCACTCCTAGTGGTTTGCAGATACATATGGGGTACTGGGAGGACTGGGGACTGAACCCAGATAGGTCACGTGCAACACAATTGCTGTCTTATCTCTCCCGTGTTTTGTCACTTTAAAAGACAAATGAGGAGCTAGAGAGATAGCACAGCGGGTAGGGTGTTTGCGTTTCACGCGGCAGACCCAGGTTCGATTCCCAGCATCTCATATGCCAGGAGTAACTCCTGAGTGCAGAGCCAGGAGTAACCCCAGTGCATCGCCGAGTGTGACCCAAAAAGCAAAATAATAATAATAATAATCATGATCACGATCACGACCACCCTGTTGTTCGTCGATTGCCTCGAGCAGGTGCCAGTAACGTCTTCTTCGTCCTAGCCCTGAGATTTTTTTTTTTAAAGTGCCATATTCAAGGCTTTTTCAGGGTTAGGAGAATGAGACCCATCATTGTTACTGGTATTTGGCATATTGGGTATACCACGGGGAGTTTGCCAGACTCTGCCGTGTGGGCATGTTACATTTGGTAGCCTGCCAGTTTGACCAAATTAGGAATGAGATGATAAGATGTCGCGGCCGCGCGCTTCCGGGACCTGAGTGTGATAATCTCTGGATCCTGGCCGTTGTTGGAGTTACACGGCA